ATAAATTAAACAAATTTTTCGACTCTGTCGATAAAATATGTGGGGTACAGACCTCCTTACTATAAATAGAAATAGATAATTATTGAATCCCCCTTTGAGCCCTTAATCTATTGAATTGTATTTGATATTGTACGAATTTCATTTTTATAACGCGTTTGTTTGTTTAGCAGTATGTTTAGTTTTTAAGTTTTTTTCTTTTTATATAAGTGCCATCCTGTGCACGGGCTTATGCCCCCTGCAGGCTTTGTACTTAATAATACAAAAAAAGGTTAATAAATAAATAAAATAAATAAATAAAAATACTTTCAATATATTTCAAAGTTCAGTAGTGAGTATGGAGGCTGCTGACACGAGTTTGTCTCACACTTTATTATGTTGGAAATGAATTTATTTCATACAGGCCTAGCACAGGCATGATCGCACATGTAGCCTGTAGACCTAAGTCTGTGCGAAGCATAAGTCATATTACATGCACATTACATGAAAATTGATTTTTGTGCATCGAAAAAGCAAAATTTTTAACTTTTACCCACTTTCGTCTAGTAGGAAATGAGGAGAAAAAATCTAGGAGAAATTTAGAGAATGGGTTCAGTTAGCATTTTTCCCGTAGAACAAAACCATATATATAATGATATGCTATAAATTCACGTACGAGCGTGAAAAACACTTTTTCAAAAAAATTGTCAGCGATAAATACCGAAAAGTTTCGATAAACGGTATTCTACGTGTACGTTATTGCGCCTTACCTCATTGTTTATACACTATAATAATATGTAGCTACTGTCCCGATTTAAAGTATAATGTAAATATTAATTCAGTCGCGTCTTGACAAGAATAGAATTACGCAAGTGCAAAATCCCTGCCTTATGGCCTTATGCCTTATTGGTTCTGAACAAGATTTCCATTAGAAGCTGCACGCACAGATTTAAAGCTACTGAAAGAATTGGATGATTTCAAAAGTTTTGAGCCAAAATCATGTACAGTTGTTTTTAAAAAATTATCCAATCACTTGTGGTATTTATCTAAAGAACTTGTATGCCAGCACTTTATAATGACTTTGTCAACCCGAGTGAGAAAAGAGAAATGATAAATAAATTAAAAACTCAAGATTCAGGAGAGAGAGAACTCTATCTAATTTTGAGAGAACTCTATCTACCACTTTCTTTAAGAACTCCTAAAATCTATAAAGAAAAGCGTCAAATTTGGGTCTCTTGAATTAAGTGATAGTGAATAATTTTAGCTTTCTAACCGTCAGTGGTTTGAAGGCTCATTGAATGAGAATGTTTATTAAATTAGAGGTTTATTAAATAATCACAACACTTTTTATGGAAAAAAAACCTTTCGGTAAAAAAAAACCAATGTATTTTATTCACTGTTTTTGTCACTTATACTTATACACGCATATACACACACACACACACACACAAAAGAATCAAGTTTCAACCAAGAAGGTGAATGAATTGCTATCGTTAGTCGTTTTTTCTAGAACAATCAGATCCGTTGGATCGAAGCGCTCAAAAACTAATAACCCTTCCGATCATGCACATACTAGCCGTTGGCCAGCCATCACCGCGCGCACGCGCAGGAGTCGCAGTTGTGCGTCTCTGTCGCATCACGTTCGTGACGCGACATGCTCCCGGCCCGAGCTGCCGAAGGAGTTGATTCCTTTCAACACATGAAGCAGTGTGAGATTTGATTTTTTTCAATCAGATGTATATTGATTATTCATATGAAAATTTTTATTTTAAATAGATTAATTATTTATTAAACAGTTTACAAAGAAAAATTAATTAAATGTTCAAGTATTGAAACGTAACGAAAAAAGTATAAAATTGAACGTATAATGTCAACAGTTTCCGTCGGAGTGACTGTTTCCCTTTTTTTTTGAATTTTAATCTAACATTGATTTAATTGGTAAAACGCAAATTTTTGTAATATTGCGTTTATACACGCCATTGCTCGTTTTGACTGATACTACTCGCACAATTCCATCGCTTCCAGGAAATGTCTCCATAATAACTCCAAGAGGCCACCGTGAACATCCTATTGCGTGATCCTCCATCAAAAGAACAACATCTCCAACTTTGAGCTCCGTCGATGATTCATGCCATTTTTGTCGTCGTTGTAATTCATGCAAATATTCCTTTTGCCACTTACTCCAAAAATCTTGCCGAGCCTTAGTGATAAAATTATAGGTCGAAAGACGATTATCAGGAACTGAAGTGATAGTTTCTTCAGGTATAAAATTAAACGGTCGTCCTATTAATATATGTGCCGGTGTTATAACTAAAGGATCGTTTGGATCAGCTGAAATGGCATATAGTGGTCGAGAATTTAAAACTGCCTCAATCTCAATTAACAACGTATTTAGTTGTTCATACGTTAATTTATGATCGTGTAACACTCTTTTCAAATGATGTTTGAAACCCTTTACTGCAGCTTCCCATAGACCACCAAAATGTGGTGATAATGGCGGATTAAAATGCCATTGTATACGTTTGGAAAGTGCAAAATTTTCTATGGTTTTTTGGTTTTCTGATGTCTCGATTAATTGATAAATTTGTTGCAAATCTTTATTGGCGCCCACAAAATTTGTGCCATTATCAGAATAAATATGCTCCGGTCTTCCTCTTCGTCCTATAAATCTACGTAATGCCGCTAAGAAAGCTTCAGTCGACAAATCGGTAGCAAGTTCTATATGCACTGCTTTAGATACCATACAAACAAATACACAGCCATACGTTTTTATAAATGTTTTGTTGCGATATCGTTTTTCCTTTATAATAAAGGGACCACAGAAGTCTACGCCAGTATGACAAAATGCTGGAGCTTCGTTTACTCTTACTTCAGGTAAATCAGCCATCTGAGCATGAGATTTTTTCGGTCGTTGCCGAATACATTCTATACATTGGTGAATTATTTTTCTAATTTGATTTTTCGCATTCAAGATCCAAAATCGGTTTCGAAGACTGTACATCGTAGTTTGAATCCCCGAATGTAAATTCTGGTTGTGAGTTTCACGTATCAACAGATCACACACGTGATGTTTATTTGGTAGTAAAAGAGGATGTTTCGTGTTATAAATTAAATTTGCCCTTTTTAAACGACCACCAACACGAATTAATCCATATTCATCCAGAAAAGGATTTAACTCGTCCAAAGAAGTTCTTTTCCGAAATGGAACTATAGTACTATCCTTATCTTTATCTTCAGCCGTAGCAAGTAATTTTATTTCTTTGTCAAATCTTTCTTGTTGTATTTTGGAAATAATCCATCGTTCAGCATCTCGTATTTCTGTTAATGATAGTTGAGTTCTCTGGCTTCTGGTATTTTTTAAAGTTTTCAAATTTTTCCAACGAAACAGATATGCCGTAGTTTTGATAAGACTTGAATATGAGGAAAATCGATCATAGAACTGAGAAAAAAATTCACTCTGTTTCTTTAATAATAAACATGTTGCTAATTTTAGTCCAGGAAGCTCCTTTAATTGTACGTTTGATTCTTCAGGCCAATCAACCTCAGGTTTTGATAACCACACAGGACCGTTAGTCCAGAGAGAATTTCTTAAAAATTCAGAAGGTAATTGTCCACGAGAAAGATGATCTGCCGGATTATCATCAGATCGTACATGTCTCCATTGAATTTCGTTTCCTAATGACTGAATATCTTTGACTCGGTTTGCTTCGAAAGTCCGTAAAAGATGCGGTGCCTTTTTAATCCAACTAACAAGGAGACCACATGAGATGTGGGTCACCAAATGTCCTGAAAATTTTTTTCTGGTCTCCTGGTATCTAATAATAAAGCCCTCTATGCTTAGTTTGATCCAATGGGCCTTAGGGCCCATTTTAGAAATCATTTTCTAGTTTATTGAAAAATCTTTGTGATTTTCTAACTCGTAATATGACATTTTAAACGGAAAATTGCACACTGTACAAGTCTCAGAATTAGTCAAAGAATACATTTGAATTTTTTCAGAATTTTTGAAACCTACAATCACTTATTTTCAAAAGTCTCTGAAATTCTTAAGAAAAAAGTAAAAAATTAAATTTGGGCCTTTGAAAATAGGTGATAGCAGGTCTCGAAAATTCTGAAAAAATTCAAATGTATTCTTTGACTAATTCTGAGACTTGTACATTGTGCAATTTTCCGTTTAAAATGTCCTATTACGAGTTAGAAAATCACAAAGATTTTTCAATAAACTAGAAAATGATTTCTAAAATGGGCCCTAAGGCCCATTGGATCAAACTAAGCATAGAGGGCTTTATTATTAGATACCAGGAGACCAGAAAAAAATTTTCAGGACATTTGGTGACCCACATCTCATGTGGTCTCCTTGTAAGCACTATTGTAGAATCTGACCAAAAAATCGTTCGATCTCTTTTAAATGTTAATTGTAACCTTATTTTTTCGTACAATTTCTTTAATAACGATGCTGCACATAACTCAAGGCGTGGTATAGTTATACCCTTTAAAGGCGCTACTCTGGATTTGCTACATAACAAACGCACCATCACCTTTCCTCTCGAATCAGTAGATCTGACGAATATGCATGCGCCGTATCCACGAATACAAGCGTCGCAGAATCCATGTATCTCTACGTTTACTGGATCGATAATCAAACATTGACGAGGTATTGTAAAGCTTTGTAATAAAGGTAATTGATTCGCTAATAAAGACCACCTGGTGTGAATTTCCTGAGGCAGAGACTCGTCCCAATTGACTCCCGCCTTCCAACAATCTTGCATGAGCACCTTAGCATATAGTAATACTGGTCCCAGCATTCCTAGAGGATCAAAAATTTTTGATATTTCTGACAAAAGAGCACGTTTAGTGTGTATTTTATTTAAATTTATCGATGCCACTGTGTATTTGAGACTATCGTGTTGAGAATCCCACATAATTCCGAGAGTTTTATGAATAGGATTTTCTTTGATGACGCAATCCAGGTTGAACATTTTATTATTTAGATTTTCTAAAGCTGATTCGTGATTGGAAGCCCACTATCTTATGGTAAAACCACCACGACTCAATAATTCGATCATTTCATCTCGGATTGTTGTTATTTCTTCTATTGAATTGGCTCCAGAAATAAAATCATCCACGTAAAAGTCTCGAAGTAACAATTGACTTGCCTTCGGAAATTCCTTAGCTTCATCTCGAGCCAACTGTTGAATCGTGCGAATTGCTAAGTATGGAGCCGATGCTGTACCAAATGTAACTGTATTTAATTGAAATGGTTTTATTTGACCTTGATCGTACCAAAAAGTTTTTTGAAACTTTCTGTCATCGGGATGAATTAAAATTTGCCGATACATTTTTTCAATATCAGCAGTGATTACATAACGATGTGTTCGGAATCGAAGCAATTGTTCCATAATGGTGTCTTGAATAGTTGGGCCTACCATGAGCACATCATTTAAAGAAATACCAGTCGATGTTTTAGCTGAGGCATCAAATACTACTCTGACCTTAGTCGTCTCGCTAGCTTCTTTGATAACTGCATGATGAGGTAAGAAATATCCTTCACTTGAATCGTCACATCTTGACATATGTCCCAATGAAATGTATTCGTTCATAACTCGTTCATACTCCTTTCGAAGAGAAGGCTTGAATTTAAATGTTCTTTCGAGATTGTGAAACCGCTTAAGGGCGTGTAGTCGAGATTCTCCTAATTGAGATACATTATCTCGAAATGGTAAACGCACGATATATTTGCCTGTACTATTTCGTTGAGTATGTTCACTGTAATGTCGTTCACAAACTAATTCGTCTCGTGTTTTCGAAGGTTCATGATCAAGATCTTCGATCGTCCAAAATTGTTCAATAATCTTATCTAATTTGATGATATTGCACGACGAGTTTTTGCGATTGTCCATATTTTCCGATCCACCAGCTACTACCCATCCTAAACAGGTTTTTTGCAACACAATTTCAGTTTCATCATGTTCACATTTGATTTGACCAACCGCTAAAACGGAAAGTGTCGTTCTTGAAGCCAATAAAACATCAATGGGTTTAGGGCTATGAAATTGTGGATCCGCCAATTGAATATTCTTTGGTATATTAAATAATTCACGAGGAAAAGGTTCGTTAGGAATGAAATCTGCTATAGTTGGCACTATTAAAAAATCTAATGTTCGTTGAAAATTATTGTAATTTGAATTTAATGTAGCTCTGATGTATTGATTAGAAATCATGCCTAAACCGTTGAGAGCTCCTATATTGACCATACAATTTTGCTTGGGTAAGTTTAATGCTTCTGCAAACCGTTTTGTCATTAGATTCACTGTTGAGCACGAATCCAATAAAACACGAGCTGCAACTAGTTGTTCATGTCTATTTTTAAAATTTACTACCGCCGTGGTCATCAATTGTGAATCAACTGGATAAGCTGTTGTAAAATCATGATATCGTGTTAGTCATAAAGGAGCATTACATCCTTGTGCTTGTCTAGATTCCAAATTGCTTTGAACCGACTCTCGTCGATTTGATTGGTGATCATTGTGTAACTGAGTTTTCTTATCAGCATGAAGAAGTGTATGATGCTCACGATTACATTTTTTGCATCGTTTTTCATTTGTGCACTGAGATTTGTGAAAATTCAGACAATTGCGACATAAATGTTGAGTTTTTATGAATTCCCAACGATCTGGAATATTCAATCTTTCAAAAGCTGGGCATTGATAAAGTCGATGTTTATCTAGACATTTCGGACATGAAGTTGACGTGGAGGTGACAAAGGTTTGTCCATTCAATCTTGGCTGTTTATATTGAGATTTATCTGAATTTTCTCCTAATCTTTTTTTTGTTGCGCTACGAGTCACTATATTATTCCTTTCTAGAGAATGTAATTTGAAAATGGACGCTTGAACAAATTTGTACAGCTCGTTCAGTGTCGGCAACGTATTCACATCTAATCGTTCTTCCCATCTTGATCGCGTAGCTGCTGGTAGACATCTTTCAATATGTCTGATGATCAGTTGGTCAATTGATTTAACTTCCAATTGTTCTAACATACTGGCATGTTGTCGAGCAGTATCCATTAATGATGATAATTCTGTTGCAGATGACTTTGTTATAAATGGTAAATCAATAATAGCATCAAGATGTTCAGACACCATAATACGCTTTTGGTCGTACGAATCGAGTAACGCTTGCCAAGCACGAGAATAATTCTCTTCACTAGCCGGAAATTCCGCAATTTTACTGAGCGCGGGTCCGGACAGCGAACTTTCTAGTTGTGTATGTTTTACTAAATTACTTATATCTGTTCGAGAATGTACCAAGGCAATAAACTTATTCTTATAAGTCAGCCATTTTTCTCGAGAACCGTCGAAAGTTGGAATTTTTACTGTAGGCAATTTCGGCATATCTTGCCGCTCAATTATAGTAACATTGCTAGCATTTTGCGATGAATTTTGAATAATGTTTTGCATTTTATTTATCTGTGTAGCTACTTCGTAGTAATTAGCTTCTATTTCAAAAAAAACATCGATGCGGGGATGATCAGCCTTTAACGACATGAGTTCATCATTGTATTTCATATAGTCTTTGTATAGACTTGAAACATTTGCCAATCGCAGATTTGCGTTAACAGGATCTGCTTGTGGTGAACTTATATATTTGTTTAAATTTTCTATATGTTTTTCAAGCATTTCACCTTTACGCACAATGTATGCTATACGATTTTCTTGAGCTGCCATTGTTCTATTGTTATCACTACTAACTGTTTTACGTTTAAGGTTACTTCATAACCTCACAGGAGGCACCATGAATATTTTTAGCTTTCTAACCGTCGGTGGTTTGAAGGCTCATTGAATGAGAATGTTTATTAAATGAGAGGTTTATTAAATAATCACAACACTTTTTATGGAAAAAAAAACCTTTCGGTAAAAAAAAACCAATGTCTTTTATTCACTGTTTTTGTCACTTATACTTATACACGCATATACACACACACACAAAAGAATCAAGTTTCAACCAAGAAGGTGAATGAATTGCTATCGTTAGTCGTTTTTTTTTTAGAACAATCAGATCCGTTGGATCGAAGCGCTCAAACTCTAATACCCCTTCCGATCATGCACATACTAGCCGTTGGCCAGCAATCACCGCGCGCACGCGCAGGAGTCGCAGTTGTGCGTCTCTGTCGCATCACGTTCGTGACGCGACATATGTAATTGTTAATTATTTGTTGAGAGCTTTAATTTAAAAAAAAAAAGAAGCAATTCGGTTCAATAGAAGCCGAGATAACGTTATTTTTTCCAGTGCGCTTCATTTTGAAAAGTCAATGTCAAGTTTTTCGAGCGGCCGGAACAGCTCGCCTCGGCCTTCCCCCACTCCGCTACCCTTGCGAGTGTATGATAGAGTCAGAATGTTTTGTTAGTTAATAATATTATCGTTGAAAAAATAACGGTGATTGATAGTTGCATTCGTTTACATATAAAAGTTCAACATTTCGTTCGAATGTATACCAAATTTCAGCTTTTAATGTTTATAAACAAAGGCGTGGTGATTTTTTAANTCCATCGCTTCCAGGAAATGTCTCCATAATAACTCCAAGAGGCCACCGTGAACATCCTATTGCGTGATCCTCCATCAAAAGAACCACATCTCCAACTTTGAGCTCCGTCGATGATTCATGCCATTTTTGTCGTCGTTGTAATTCATGCAAATATTCCTTTTGCCACTTACTCCAAAAATCTTGCCGAGCCTTAGTGATAAAATTATAGGTCGAAAGACGATTATCAGGAACTGAAGTGATAGTTTCTTCAGGTATAAAATTAAACGGTCGTCCTATTAATATATGTGCCGGTGTTATAACTAAAGGATCGTTTGGATCAGCTGAAATGGCATATAGTGGTCGAGAATTTAAAACTGCCTCAATCTCAATTAACAACGTATTTAGTTGTTCATACGTTAATTTATGATCGTGTAACACTCTTTTCAAATGATGTTTGAAACCCTTTACTGCAGCTTCCCATAGACCACCAAAATGTGGTGATAATGGCGGATTAAAATGCCATTGTATACGTTTGGAAAGTGCAAAATTTTCTATGGTTTTTTGGTTTTCTGATGTCTCGATTAATTGATAAATTTGTTGCAAATCTTTATTGGCGCCCACAAAATTTGTGCCATTATCAGAATAAATATGCTCCGGTCTTCCTCTTCGTCCTATAAATCTACGTAATGCCGCTAAGAAAGCTTCAGTCGACAAATCGGTAGCAAGTTCTATATGCACTGCTTTAGATACCATACAAACAAATACACAGCCATACGTTTTTATAAATGTTTTGTTGCGATATCGTTTTTCCTTTATAATAAAGGGACCACAGAAGTCTACGCCAGTATGACAAAATGCTGGAGCTTCGTTTACTCTTACTTCAGGTAAATCAGCCATCTGAGCATGAGATTTTTTCGGTCGTTGCCGAATACATTCTATACATTGGTGAATTATTTTTCTAATTTGATTTTTCGCATTCAAGATCCAAAATCGGTTTCGAAGACTGTACATCGTAGTTTGAATCCCCGAATGTAAATTCTGGTTGTGAGTTTCACGTATCAACAGATCACACACGTGATGTTTATTTGGTAGTAAAAGAGGATGTTTCGTGTTATAAATTAAATTTGCCCTTTTTAAACGACCACCAACACGAATTAATCCATATTCATCCAGAAAGGGATTTAACTCGTCCAAAGAAGTTCTTTTCCGAAATGGAACTATAGTACTATCCTTATCTTTATCTTCAGCCGTAGCAAGTAATTTTATTTCTTTGTCAAATCTTTCTTGTTGTATTTTGGAAATAATCCATCGTTCAGCATCTCGTATTTCTGTTAATGATAGTTGAGTTCTCTGGCTTCTGGTATTTTTTAAAGTTTTCAAATTTTTCCAACGAAACAGATATGCCGTAGTTTTGATAAGACTTGAATATGAGGAAAATCGATCATAGAACTGAGAAAAAAATTCACTCTGTTTCTTTAATAATAAACATGTTGCTAATTTTAGTCCAGGAAGCTCCTTTAATTGTACGTTTGATTCTTCAGGCCAATCAACCTCAGGTTTTGATAACCACACAGGACCGTTAGTCCAGAGAGAATTTCTTAAAAATTCAGAAGGTAATTGTCCACGAGAAAGATGATCTGCCGGATTATCATCAGATCGTACATGTCTCCATTGAATTTCGTTTCCTAATGACTGAATATCTTTGACTCGGTTTGCTTCGAAAGTCCGTAAAAGATGCGGTGCCTTTTTAATCCAACTAAGCACTATTGTAGAATCTGACCAAAAAATCCTTCGATCTCTTTTAAATGTTAATTGTAACCTTATTTTTTCGTACAATTTCTTTAATAACGATGCTGCACATAACTCAAGGCGTGGTATAGTTATACCCTTTAAAGGCGCTACTCTGGATTTGCTACATAACAAACGCACCATCACCTTTCCTCTCGAATCAGTAGATCTGACGAATATGCATGCGCCATATCCACGAATACAAGCGTCGCAGAATCCATGTATCTCTACGTTTACTGGATCGATAATCAAACATTGACGAGGTATTGTAAAGCTTTGTAATAAAGGTAATTGATTCGCTAATAAAGACCACCTGGTTTGAATTTCCTGAGGCAGAGACTCGTCCCAATTGACTCCCGCCTTCCAACAATCTTGCATGAGCACCTTTGCATATAGTAATACTGGTCCCAGCATTCCTAGAGGATCAAAAATTTTTGATATTTCTGACAAAACAGCACGTTTAGTGTGTATTTTATTTAAATTTATCGATGCCACTGTGTATTTGAATAGGAGTTTATGAATAGGATTTTCTTTGATGACGCAATCCAGGTTGAACAATTTATTATTTAGATTTTCTAAAGCTGATTCGTGATTGGAAGCCCACTGTCTTATGGTAAAACCACCACGACTCAATAATTCGATCATTTCATCTCGGATTGTTGTTATTTCTTCTATTGAATTGGCTCCAGAAATAAAATCATCCACGTAAAAGTCTCGAAGTAACAATTGACTTGCCTTCGGAAATTCCTTAGCTTCATCTCGAGCCAACTGTTGAATCGTGTGAATTGCTAAGTATGGAGCCGATGCTGTACCAGATGTAACTGTATTTAATTGAAATGGTTTTATTTTACCTTGATCGTACCAAAAAGTTTTTTGAAACTTTCTGTCATCGGGATGAATTAAAATTTGCCGATACATTTTTTCAATATCAGCAGTGATTACATAACGATGTGTTCGGAATCGAAGCAATTGTTCCATAATGGTGTCTTGAATAGTTGGGCCTACCATGAGCACATCATTTAAAGAAATACCAGTCGATGTTTTAGCTGAGGCATCAAATACTACTCTGACCTTAGTCGTCTCGCTAGCTTCTTTGATAACTGCATGATGAGGTAAGAAATATCCTTCACTTGAATCGTCACATCTTGACATATGTCCCAATGAAATGTATTCGTTCATAACTCGTTCATATTCCTTTCGAAGAAAAGGCTTGAATTTAAATGTTTTTTCGAGATTGCGAAACCGCTTAAGGGCGTGTAGTCGAGATTCTCCTAATTGAGACACATTATCTCGAAATGGTAAACGCACGATATATTTGCCTGTACTATTTCGTTCAGTATGTTCACTGTAATGTCGTTCACAAACTAATTCGTCTCGTGTTTTCGAAGGTTCATGATCAAGATCTTCGATCGTCCAAAATTGTTCAATAATCTTATCTAATTTGATGATATTGCACGACGAGTTTTTGCGATTGTCCATATTTTCCGATCCACCAGCTACTACCCATCCTAAACGGGTTTTTTGCAACACAATTTCAGTTTCATCATGTTCACATTTGATTTGACCAACCGCTAAAACGGAAAGTGTCGTTCTTGAAGCCAATAAAACATCAATGGGTTTAGGGCTATGAAATTGTGAATCCGCCAATTGAATATTCTTTGGTATATTAAATAATTCACGAGGAAAAGGTTCGTTAGGAATGAAATCTGCTATAGTTGGCACTATTAAAAAATCTAATGTTCGTTGAAAATTATTGTAATTTGAATTTAATGTAGCTCTGATGTATTGATTAGAAATCATGCCTAAACCGTTGAGTGCTCCTATATTGACCATACAATTTTGCTTGGGTAAGTTTAATGCTTCTGCAAACCGTTTTGTCATTAGATTCACTGTTGAGCACGAATCCAATAAAACACGAGCTGCAACTAATTGTTCATGTCTATTTTTAAAATTTACTACCGCCGTGGTCATCAATTGTGAATCAACTGGATAAGCTGTTGTAAAATCACGATATCGTGTTAGTCATAAAGGAGCATTACATCCTTGTGCTTGTCTAGATTCCAAATTGCTTTGAACCGACTCTCGTCGATTTGATTGGTGATCATTGTGTAACTGAGTTTTCTTATCAGCATGAAGAAGTGTATGATGCTCACGATTACATTTTTTGCATCGTTTTTCATTTGTGCACTGAAATTTGTGAAAATTCAGACAATTACGACATAAATGTTGAGTTTTTATGAATTCCCAACAATCTGGAATATTCAATCTTTCAAAAGCTGGGCATTGATAAAGTCGATGTTTATCTAGACATTTCGGACATGAAGTAGACGTGGAGGTGACAAAGGTTTGTCCATTCAATCTTGGCTGTTTATATTGAGATTTATCTGAATTTTCTCCTAATCTTTTTTTTGTTGCGCTACGAGTCACTATATTATTCCTTTCTAGAGAATGTAATTTGAAAATGGACGCTTGAACAAATTTGTACAGCTCGTTCAGTGTCGGCAACGTATTCACATCTAATCGTTCTTCCCATCTTGATCGCGTAGCTGCTGGTAGACATCTTTCAATATGTCTGATGATCAGTTGGTCAATTGATTTAACTTCCAATTGTTCTAACATACTGGCATGTTGTCGAGCAGTATCCATTAATGATGATAATTCTGTTGCAGATGACTTTGTTATAAATGGTAAATCAATAATAGCATCGAGATGTTCAGACACCATAATACGCTTTTGGTCGTACGAATCGAGTAACGCTTGCCACGCACGAGAATAATTCTCTTCACTAGCCGGAAATTCCGCAATTTTACTGAGCGCGGGTCCGGACAGCGAACTTTCTAGTTGTGTATGTTTTACTAAATTACTTATATCTGTTCGAGAATGTACCAAGGCAATAAACTTATTCTTATAAGTCAGCCATTTTTCTCGAGAACCGTCGAAAGTTGGAATTTTTACTGTCGGTAATTTCGGCATATCTTGCCGCTCAATTATAGTAACATTGCTAGCATTTTGCGATGAATTTTGAATAATGTTTTGCATTTTATTTATCTGTGTAGCTACTTCGTAGTAATTAGCTTCTATTTCAAAAAAAAAAACAAAGCGGGGATGATCAGCCTTTAACAACATGAGTTCATCATTGTATTTCATATAGTCTTTGTATAGACTTGAAACATTTGCCAATCGCAGATTTGCGTTAACAGTGTTGTTAACTTGTGGTGAACTTATATATTTGTTTAAATTTTCTATATGTTTTTCAAGCATTTCACCTTTACGCACAATGTAGGCTATACGATTTTCTTGAGCTGCCATTGTTCTATTGTTATCACTACTAACTGTTTTACGTTTGAGGTTACTTCATAACCTCACAGGAGGCACCATGAATAATTTTAGCTTTCTAACCGTCGGTGGTTTGAAGGCTCATTGAATGAGAATGTTTATTAAATTAGAGGTTTATTAAATAATCACAACACTTTTTATGGAAAAAAAACCTTTCGGTAAAAAAAAACCAATGTATTTTATTCACTGTTTTTGTCACTTATACTTATACACGCATATACACACACACACACACACACACAAAAGAATCAAGTTTCAACCAAGAAGGTGAATGAATTGCTATCGTTAGTCGTTTTTTCTAGAACAATCAGATCCGTTGGATCGAAGCGCTCAAAAACTAATAACCCTTCCGATCATGCACATACTAGCCGTTGGCCAGCCATCACCGCGTGCACGCGCAGGAGTCGCAGTTGTGCGTCTCTGTCGCATCACGTTCGTGACGCGACAGATAGATGGTCCCAAAAATTCTGAAAAAATTCAAGCAGATTCTTTAAAAAATTTTAAAACTTTTGATCGTTGCATTTTTCCGTTTAAGTACTTCTATATCGATATAGAAAATAAAAGAGATTTGTTTATAATGTGGAAAATCCTCTAAAAAATGGGCCCTAAGGCCCATGAGATCGAATTAAGGACAGGGAGCTTCATTATTGGGTACCAGGAGACCCCAAAAAAATTTTGGAGCACACCATGACTCGGAGCTGGGGTGGTCTCCTTGTCAGTGTACACCAATAGAAGAAAATTTTCCATTTACTCTTGAATAATTTATTGATATAGCATTGATTGCTTCAATTTAAATTTGTTTGAAATTCGAAGTAAAAATTCGAAGTAAAAATTCGAAAGTAAATAATAAAATTATGTTAATTCGACTGTAAATAATAAAATTATAATGAACTTGTTCATAACGGCTTTTCTTATCATTACAGTAACGTCAATAATGTAAAATACCGTATATCGTAGCTTTCCGGTATTTATCGCTGAAAATTTTTTTGAAAAAATGTTTTTCAAGTTCGTACATGAATTTAAAGTATATCATTATGTATATGATTTTGTTCTATGGGAAAAATGCTAACTGAATCCATTCTCAAAATTTCTCCTAGATTTTTTCTCCTCATTTCCTACAAGGCGAAAGCGGGTAAAAGTAAAAAATTTTGCTTTTTCGAAGCACAAAAATCAATTTTCTGAAAAAAGTTATGATCCAATCTTTAATCTGAGAACGCCATTTGATTCTACAGATAAAAATACACAAAAAACAGTCTCTACCATTTCAATTTCCAGCTATAACCGAAACAGGTAATACATTTAATATCAACTATTTTCGTCCGATTTTCAGACCCCGTTTTTAAACTTTAAAAATCTATCGCCAAGGAACCAGTAACTTTTTCGACATTCTGAAAACGGTTTTATTCATTGTAAGACTTGAATTTTCTAAAAATATAATTTGTAAAGGCGATTTCGAAAATTTTTGCAAAGTGAACCACCCCTTTGTCAAACATGCACAAGCGCTCTAGAAAGACAGAGTTACACAACGCCGCATAGATGTTACCAAGGCATGAGCGTCGACACACACAGGCTGTCGTGACGTGCCGCAGTAGAGGGAGAGTAGTAGCGTCTTGCCACTGCTGAACGCTGGCCTTGACCCGTGTACGCTGCTAGGGTCACCGAGCGACCGGAGTTCCGAGAATAACTCGCCCAAATATGGGTATATAGAATGGCACATGTGTCGTAGGTCGACAATTGACCAATAACATATTATTTCGCAACTTGGAAAAAACATCAAGATGTTCTCTTACTGAAAATATGCAGGAATAAATAAGTATATAACCGGGGTAAAACTTAAGCTCGAGGCAGATCTATTAATAAAGTTGTAGAGTGAAGCTCAACATAACATCAAACAAAACATCTTTCAGTATTGTTACATATATTTCACGATAAGTGTTCGAGAAATATTCGAACAAGGCAGAACACACGCACGCCTGTACTCACACACGTTCACGTGTGTGCAGACCTGCGCGTAACTCTCGCTGTGAAGCGAGAGATGGCGTCGCGCCGCGGCACGTGCCGACGGCATCTCTGCTAACTGCGCATTGTTCGCGTACACGGTCTTCTCGTTTCTGCACTCGACTAATCAGCACCTCGCTCGTGTCTCGTGCATCTACTTGGTCAACTGCGAGAATTTTCCCGACGTCAGCTCTATAAGGCTACATCGAGCATCATCATCTTGGACAGCTTCATCAACTCAACCGCCCTAGATCGTCTCAACAAGCGCAAGCCAGTCAACAAGGACTTTTCGGCAAGCTCTTTTCATCGCTCTACTCATCGAAGCGCAACTCATCGGTCTGCGAATCGGAGTCAACTCATCGATTGCGACCAGGTAAAAAAACCATCCAGACTGCAATTGAAGACCAATAATGTCTACTGCAGGCCTGGTGGAATCTTTTTGTCATCACCTCCACTCTCGGGATTATTTCGGCGCATCTCACTCGCACGAGCACACGACGAGTGAAAGTGAGGTTACACGGTGCCATGTGCAATCTCACGTGAACTCGGCCAACTCATCCGGCTGCTCACACCTGCGCACGAGAGGATTAATTTAACCTCTTGTGTGTTGCTCCGGTCTGCTCACAAATCAAGTTCAACTCGCTGTGAACTCAAGAGAGGTGTTGCACGTCTAAAGTGCAACAACTCACGACAAATCAGAGTGGATTAATAAAATCAATCTTGTGTTGACAACTCAATCTTTGTATAAAGTCTTTGAGAACTAAGTGTGAATTAATACAATCTCGCTTCGCGTTGACTACTCAATTTATTGGTGCAATTATTAATGATAACTCAAGTGTAAAATCAATTGACTAATTCAGTGAACTCAACAATGTTATAATTGTTATCAACATTTTCATTATCTAGACTCAGTTTTTATTAAATTAACAGTGTTTTTGAGTGATTAATAAAGAAAATTGTGAAAATAGAAATTTATGAGATTTTGCAGTGTTTTCCTTTGAGACCCTATCATGCACCCATCCTTTTTACAATGATTGTTTAAACAATTCTCAAACAATAAGTTAATGAAAAATTGTTACATCAAAATTGTCGAGTCAATTTATTTGATCAAAAAACAAGTAATTTTGAAAAAAATTGTTTTGTTTTTCGATAATCCAAATGAAAACCATTTGAAATCTCATGGTTTTCGTGTAAATATCGCGTCCTTGATACCTAAACTAAATTTAAAAGTTAGACTTGGTCACTCTCATATTTTTTTAACCTCATTTTTACCAAAAACACAGTACTAAAAAAAAGTTTCGAAAAAACCTTTTCTTGGAACTTGATGGGACAAGTATTACTTATTAAGTAATACTTCCTGATTTGTCTTCGCGATATTCATTCGATAGAATTACAACCACTGTAACCCTAACTCGTCAATTCCAACAGGCAACGCAGGGTGCAAGAGTGACCTGCTAGATAGATTCCATTTTACACCTGGATCCACATAATTACAATTTTCGTCTTCAGTGTCTACGCTCCTACGAGTCTACTGACGTCTAATTCACGGCCCTCTTCGCAAACATTGCAAATGAGTTTCTCGACAAGAAACTACTCGTCGTAGCAGATGACTTCAATGTCTGGTTAGCAGAGTGGGAATTCAGGATTATATATCTACTAGGTGAGGTGCTCTTGGACTCGCTCACCCCTCTCGAGGCGACAGGCCGACTTTTTTTATCTGCAAACAAGGCTAGTCAATCATTGACCTCACCTTTTGAAGGGATGCGTTTTTCACGTGGCTAATTGGCAGGTTAGCAGGCTGATCACCACCAGCAACCATAAGGCCATTATCTTCAAGATAAAGGATACTAGGTCTCACCGGCCCGCGAGACACCAGGGCTACAGGTGATCGACTCGCTCACATAACGAGGAAATCTTCACCAACATGATGACGAACTAGGTAGTTTTACTAGGGTCCACAAAAAAGATGGCAGCTAAGATCGTCATCGCCATCTGCTGCTCTTGCGATGCCTTAATGTCTAGAGTGGGTGGTTGCCACAATCACGAACCAGTTTACTGGTGGTCGGAGGAGATCACCTATCTAAGACGAGCATGCCTGCAAACCCGAAGACTCGCTCAAAGCACTACTGTTTTAGCCGGAGAACCTCTCCTATCGCTACTCGTGGAGGAGCGTAACCAGCTTTACCATCGCCATCAAGAAAAGGATGCTAGAGTGGACCCATCGACTGATCCTAGATATCATAGGTCGAGCAGAGGCATGGAGAGGTAAACTATTACCTTACTCAGCTTTTGACCAGGCACAGCTACTTCAAACACTACAACGAGCTCTACGACAACAGCATTAGCATACGATATCTGCTCCACTAAAATCGAAAACGCAGTGCAAATATTTTTCCACTGCCCGTGTTTCATCAACGAAGAGAAGGATTCAGGATACATCTGAAGAGGACACACCTGTGTTTATATAAATGCAATAACATGAAAATTAAGGATTAATATTACAATTTTTTGTTTCTGATGTTAAAATATGTTTTTACAGGCCCATTTACAACAAAAAATATGTCTGTAGTTCCTTTTATTATTAAAATTCATCCAGGATTCATATATATTGAATTGTATTTTTTGAGTCCTTGACCGCATGATTTTGAGAACAACAATTATTCAATTGGATGCCTTTAGGTCTCAAAAGTTTTGTAATTAAATTCTTTTCCACTTAAGTGTAGCAGATTTTTTATTTAGTTATTTTTTTAATCTATACTCATCTCCAAATATAGCAATAAGCGTTATTAAAATAGCTATTTTTGTCATTTTCTTTGTACTTTTATATGAATAAAAATTTCAAAGTTTCTTGAAATTCTGCTACACTTAAGTGGAAAAGAATTTAATTACAAAACTTTTTTAGACCTAAAGGCATCCAATTGAATAATTGTTGTTCTCAAAATCATGCGGTCAAGGACTTAAAAAATACAATTCAA